CTAGTAGTACGCGGCATAGCAAGAATCAAAGCTACATGATATAACAGAATTATTCCACTTATATTAGTTTCTTAATTACTTGTTAATTATTATTAACTCAACACACATAATTATACATCTTATATACATGTGATTGACTATGAACTGAGCTAGTTCTGTAGCTTGAATTATTGTCAGTTTAGATTTCTAGTTGTATGAACACAATTTTTCAGCTCAGGTTATCAACAAGCCCCCAAATGCCCTGGTACGGCCGAGAGTGGGGAGAGTCCACTCTCCCTCTCGTAATGCCCTCACATGGCCACGCGTATATAGCCTCTACCAGGGAAGTTCTACTCACTACCCACCGTCTGGTGGCATTACTGTTGTATACGAAATTGAGAGGACGAAAAGTGAATGTCCGGTGCTTTAACCGGATTGGTGGATACGGAAAGTTCACTTTGGAGAGTTGGAAAACCCTCATTCCAAACCAATGGTGCTCTAGTATTCTGAGGGAATAAATGGCGTATGAATCAATCGTTGGTCACCGGCTACCATGGGAATGCATCTTCTCACGATACTATACTGCTTTGTGGATCAGACCTTTAGATCAAAGTCTCCGGGTGTGGCCCTCTAAGAAAACCACCTGTTTCAGTTTGGGCACCTGGTCAGTATCACAGCCCTCTCACAAATCGAATAAGATTTGTGCGGCGCATATGTATCTGGTGCTTCTTTGTACCAATATTTATGCGTTTAAAAAAAATAAAATAAATATCCACAACGGTCATCTGGAAATGTTTGCAATAGACAGTTTGGTATAACTTCAGTCGTTCACACCGCATTAATACTTCTGTGATTATTATCGAAGTACAAGTACTATTAATAATTCATATTGATTAAAGCAAACAGTACAGTTATCCAGTAAATTACTGAGTTAAAGAAAATGTACCCCAAAACTTGTATCTGTTAGTGAACATAGAGGTATCAATACTTTGAGTGATCACATAACAAACGAAAACGGGGAGAATACAGTCTTAAATATCATAAATGGGAAAATACAGACCTTTATAAAAAAGGCCCCATAGTTGACGCTTATCTAATTATTATCAGAAGGGGTTTTGTGGAGATTTAGTATTTTCATCGTTGAAAGCTTGAGTCAATTGAAGCTAGACCACCAGGGAAAACCTGAAAGCACTGGACGGTCGTTTGGTCCTATTGTGTGACTCCTCAGCAGTACGCATTCACGACCTCGCCTAGCGAGACTCGAACCCAGGACCTACCAGTCCCGCGCCAGAGCACTTAACCGATAAAAAACATGGGATGCCATCTCAGTGGTCTATCGGTCTCGAGGTCGTGGATGCGCACTGGTGAGGAGTCCCACAATGGGACGAAATGGCCTTCCAGGTTTTCCCTGGTGGTCTAGTTTACCTAACTGATTATTCTGAATGTATTATTATGTTACACTAACGCAAAAAAGAAAACGGGTGTGAGAATAAGAGCGTTAGGATCATAAACTTTAAAGAAAATCCATATTAACAATATGATGGATACCCATCTATAAACATCACCTTAGTTAGTTACTTATTATAATGAAAGAAGAAAACTAAATATCAATAAACGCATCTAGTTTTGTATAAGACAGATAGAATGGTGGTGACATTTGTAATTGTTTTCTTGTTGATAGTTAAACAAACAGATATAAGGATAGACGTAAGCAACATACACTGTAGCACAACTGAAGCTATACCTTTTTTTTAAAAAAAGGATAATGAAACAAAAGTATGATTAATTACATGTTCAGGTATTTCAAGAAAGGAAGCGAATATATCAGTGTCATCAGGTTTCCGAGAGATGGTGGAGAAGATTTGTAGCTCAAGTGGATGATTTTGATGAAGTTTTGTTCTTTGAACTGGACGGTTTGGTCATGGAGCTTTCATTGAGGAGTACAGGACAAGCTGTGAGCCATATGTGAAGAAATTCAAACATTTCACTTCTACACGAAGTTTGTGCTGATGATGTCGTTCAGAAGAACGATGAAAGCCCCACTATCCAGCTCAGAGAACAAAACTCTATCAAAATCCGAGAGATCTTTCTTAACTATATCTCTGTACTCTATAAATGCTTCAGCAACTGCACAACCACCCACTATTCCCAGACAGTCTGAATGGAACATTGAAGTAGGCCCCCCGACCCTACCTGAAGTTCAAAAAGCTATAGCTAATCTGAAACGAGGAAGGGCAGCTGATCCAGATGGATTGGCTCCAGAAGTCTTTCAGGATGGTGGTCCAATTTTGGCGACTAGGTTGACTAATATTTTAGCTAAAATCTGGGAGTTGGACGTAATCTCACCCGACTGGTCACAATATATAAGAAGTGATCAAGATCCTGTGATAATCATAGAGGGATTAATTTTACTAATATAGAGTCTAAAATACTAGACTCAGTTATCGGGCGCCTAAGACTCGTGGACTGCAAATACGAGAAAATCAGGCTGGCTTCAGACCTGGTCATGGCTGCATCGACAACATATTCACCATTCGTCAGATTTTAAAACACATACATGCTTATCAGCGTCAGACAATGACAGTTTTTCTTGACTTAAAAACAGCATTTGACTCTAGACCGAGAGGTTCTGTGACAGCGTCTGTCATTGAAAGGTGTACCTTGTACAGGCTCTTTACTTGAACACTACCAGTCGAATCAGAGCTGATGGCAAACTGCCATCTGATTCTACAATCTCAAGTGGTGTCTGAGAAGGCTGTCCACTATCTGTTTTTGTTTAACTTCACTATAAACCCATTGATCGAAATAACGCTCTCGTTAACTGAATTTTCGGGCATTGATCTGCTACCACGAGGTCCACTTATCGACTTAGAATACGCAGATGATATAGTCCTGTTTGGTGAAGACGCTGATAAAATGCAGAGTCCTTTGGTAGCACTGAGTAACAATGAAAGGATGTTTGGGATGTTTATCCCCCTCTAAATGTAAATTGTTGCTCCAGGACTGGCCTGTGTCAACACCTGAACTAAGGATAGGAAGTTGAGAAGTCGAACGTGTCGACAACTGGGAGTCTGATCAGCACTAATGGGTTGATGTATGACGAAATCTTTGCACAGATTCAGAAAGCACGTTTGGTTTTCGTCAAATATGGCGAAGGCGAGATATCCGTCTATCAATCAAGGGACGAGTATACTGCGCAATAGTTCGCTCTGTTCTACTTTACTGCTGCGAAACGTGGCCACAAAGGATAGAAGATACTCGTAAGTTACTAGTATTCGACCACAGATGTCTTAGAAATATTGCTCTCATCTGCTGGGATAACCGGGTAAGTAATAATAAGGTTAGACGCAGGTTATTAGGGAATGATGGTAAATCAGTCGATGAGGTTGCAAATCTTCATCGACCGAAATGGCTGAGCCATGTGTTACGTATACCTGAACACCTATTACCACGACGCGCAATGCTGACTAGTGTAGGGGATGGTTGGAAGAAAGTTAGGAGCAGCCAAACCAAAACGTGGCATCACTCCTTGAAGTCACTTCTAGTCTGAGCCATGTTGGTAGATGCAGACTACCTGGTTGGGTCCGCGTGACTATCGTAACCAATGGTTGGAGACTGTGTATGACATGGCTTAGAATCGATCACAATGGAGTAGGTGTATACACTCTTTGTCTTCCCTTAAACTATGAGACTAAAATTGCTTTCTTTCTTCCTGTACTATATACTTAAATACAACCTTTCATATATTACCACAATTAAACTAACTACTATGAATTCAGTGTTCATCATGTTGTGCTAATGAGGTGTAGCAACTTGACCAATGCATATATGTGTCTGGTCCTACGTTGTAGCTGACTGACTAAGGAAATAATGCATAGTGTATGAGTAAATCGTCCGCTGAATTAATGATAAACTACTATAATGACACTATTTGGAATCATTTGATTAGCTTTGAGTTAAAGTTGTACATCATTTTCAAATACAGCCTCTTGTTCAGTGGATCTTTCTCAGTCTATTCGGAATGCACATAATATCAAAAGTACATACAGTTCTATCATTTAATAACTCACTGAAACAAAGTTGTTTTAGAATGTGACATCCCGACTAGCTGAGAAAACCTTAGACTATACAGTCAGTTGAACGCAATGCAGAACGTGACACATGCGTACATCATTTGCCACACACCATTAACAAAAGAAGACGAAATTATCAGGATAAACTCCATAGTATAGGTAATAACAACATTAGTGGTAGCAGAAAAGATTAAGCATTGAAGAAATGATTATATAAAATGAAAATATAAATTAGAGAACGAACAAACAAAATCTTATGAGGAGTTTAGAAACTAATAGTGAATGCACCTGAGTCACTGTGAACAATTCTGAGCTATGTCACTTAAAGTTACGATAATCATGCAGACTCCAACCAAGTAGTCTACACCTACAGCCAGCGACTTAATGGACTAATGTCACGTTTTGGTTTGGCCTCCCTCACCATTCTTCCAACCTACTTTTATACCAGCCATCCATGCCCATCGAGGTAGTCAGTGAATGGGCATATATCATAAATGTCCTAACCATTTCAGTCGATAAAGATTCACCACCCGTCAATCAATTTGTCGTACTTATCTAATACTCTGCACCTAGCTTCAGAATTGCTAACTCAATGATCCTAAATCATACGAACAATGGTTTGAAGAACCCAATAAACGAATACTAGTAACTTATGAATATCTCCTATTTCTAAGTTCGATGCTTAGCACCCATAAATTAGAGCAGAGAGAACTGGTTGACAATAGAGTTACAGAAAAAAACAACCCAAAACTATGTCATACTACAAAATACGTATGAAAAGAGTGAAAAGTAGGGTGAAATATATTTACGTATGAATTGACAAATAAATATTTATGAGACTGTACAATAATAGATTTAGTTCATTTGATACTAACATGATAATGATAATAACAACAATCATATGGAATAGTTTCAAATATACATAATGATACTTTTTAAATAAGCCATTCATCTCTCTGCATACCCAAATTCGCAAGAATCACTAAAAAATGAAAATGAAATGAGAGAACTAACAAATGGTATTGATAATGGAGAAACATCAGTAATGAATAAAGGTCAACAAATCTTACCCTATCAACTGGAACAAGTTTTTTTTTAGAAAACTGTAAGAGAGGCATCTTCATTTATATACAGATGTGTTACTTAAACAAAAGTATCAGAAGTAAGAAAGGACTTCTAGGAAGTATTGATAGTAGTTCTACAATGTTTATGCAAAGTCAACTGACGTTCATATCAATGTTGCTGGGACACAGTGACTCAATAAATTCACGATACAAAAATGGTTTGTAAAATAAAGGATCGAGATGTGTTTCCCAAAAACGAAAAGATGATGTTGAAGACAAAAGCAGAAATAAGAGTACTGAAGTAATAGTTTAAAAAGTTTCTTATCACTTATAAATGGAAAAATTGGTATTATTAATTAGATAATTATCACCAATACACTCAAAACAAACCCCTGGATCACTTACATGGTATTACCACTAAACAAGAGAAAACTTGTGGGGTTGGTATTCAAACAGTCATTAAATAGCCTAAGTTTAGATAGACGACTTTCATAAGGGTTAATTAGAACCATTTGCATCCCGATATTATTAATTAGATTGAGGTAAAAACAGAGCTAAGAAGCCAATAATGCCATGCGTGACTTTAGTCCTCACTGTGTAGATTGATTTTACTTGCCATTAGTATAACCAATGACGTAAACCTCCTAATACCTCATCTGAAATCGGATTTACGCACAAGATTTGACTAATTTCATAAGTACGCTTCGATGATGTACAGTACTTGTCATACACTAACTGTTGACCTCCAACTGATTATGAGTTGGAAAACCCTGATTCAAAAACAATGGTGCACATGGGCTCTACGCTCCTGAGAGAACAAATGTCGTATGAACCAATCGTTGGTCACCTGCTACCATGGGACTACATCTCCTGACGTTGCTCCACTGCCTTGTGTATCAGACCATTAGGTCGAAGACTCCATGTGTGGCCCCCTAAGAAAACTACGTGCTTCAGTCTGGGCACTCGAGCAGTATCACAGCCCACACGTAAATCAAGTGACTTGTGTGGCGCATACGTATTCGGTGCCCCTTTGTACCAATATTTATGTGTTGAAATATATAAATAAATAATGACCTCTAACTGATTATGTATGATTTGAGTAGTTTACTTGTCACTTCATTAACAGACTGCATATTTACGATCGGCAAGTTTTTCACCAGACAAGCCTACAACAATATCAAGTATGTTATTAAAAAGCGGCTTTAGAATGTCACTTATCACTGCCAATTCGGAACAACAGAAATAAGTGATGGTATTTCTTTACAAGATCTTCGGGATAATTATCGACTTCCTTTATATGCTCTTAAAACACTACTATGTCCCACTGAAAGAATTCAATGATATCATGTCTAGATTATGTTTCGAGGCCTTAGAACTTAAAACATTTTTATGTGCTATTTTATCTGATTAAAACTACATAAAAATGCTAGGATAAAAATAATCGGAACAATAAACACAAAAACTGATTTACTTTGCATGAGATTGTTGTCGAGGAAAGACAACCGAACGAACATTACAGTTGCTTGGTTGAATTAAAATACGTTGGCTTGTTGGTTGGCCACTCGACAATCGAATTCCAGGCGATATAGGAGGCGAAGTTACAGACTTTAAGATGTTACCAGCTGTATTATTCACAGTCCCAGAACTAACAACTTTTAGGGGACGGTTTGTTACAGATACGTATTTTGAGTGGGAACCGATTGGAGGGGTTCTTTGGGATGCGAATGATACATAAGGAATTGATGGATTTGAAGGACATACTGACGAATTAGTTACAAGAGAACTACCCCTGTTTGGTCGCTGAGTAGTAGTTAAATTATTGGAACTAGCAGCAACTGGTGTGACTAGATGAGTATTTGAAGTGATTGTAGGCGGGGATCCTGGATTACTCAAACTCGATTTCAAAGTAGTTCCAGAAGAACTTAGCAACCGTGGTGAGATCTCACTATCGCCACTAGGAGTAACGGATATGTTTGTCTTTGATTGAACTGAAGGAGTTTGGTATTGTAACCTGGGTTTAGTTGATATAAGAGATGAATGACCAGACAGATGACTATGATTCGTCTGTATTTGGTCATGTGCATTCCAACGGTCTTCCTAAACAGGGAAGTAATAGAGACTTTAATAAAAAGTTCAGGATTAAAACATTCTTTTGAGAAGTAAATAACTTTAAATGCATAATACGTCCTAGAAAACAAATTGTCACAACATCAAGTGATAAATCTAGCAGTATTCTATGTCTTGTATTAGAATTGGATATTTAGTGGTTATGTTAAAGTCAAGTACTTTGAGGCTATCTATGAATAATTATTTGTAAACTACTTGTGTTTCCAGCTTTAAAGAGGTATATTTTACAACCATAAGTTGGGGCATGAGGGCTATCAGCGACACAATAAGAATAAATATTTTAGTACGTAAACTTACATTTTCTTGTACTGAGATTGAATTCAAAGCTGATAAACTGGTTGAGTCACTGTGGAAACCCGCATTTTCGTTACGATCTATGGATGAAAAAAGAATTAATAGACTTTATAGTTCAAACTCTTATCGGAAGTTTTAGTTAAAGAACACAATAACAACAGACTCGTTGTTAGTTTACTTTTCATTCATTCACTTCTAAAGTGACGTTTGCTGAACAGGAGTAACTATTGTGAAAATTATGGATCTTCAGAACCAGTGTTATCTACTTATGATCAGTGGTTGAAAGCAATGTGTGACATTATTCATTAATTATCATAGAGGCACAGATATATATAGCCCCCAAATGCCCTGGTACGGCCGAGAGTGGGGGGGAGTCTACTCTCCCTCTCGAAATGCTCTCACATGGCCAGCGAATATATAGCCTCTGTCAGGGAAGTCCTGCTCACTGCCTTCTCGTGGCAGGGGTGTTGCTTACGAAAGTGAGAGGACGAAAAGCGAATGTCCGGCGCTTTAACCGGGTTGGTGGACATGGAGGGTCCACCTAGGGGAGTTGGGAAACCCTGATTCAAAACCAATGGTGCACATGGGCTCCATTATCCTGATGGAACGAATGGCGGACGAACTTGTCATTGGTCAACGGCTACCATGGGACTGCATCTCCTCACGATGCTCCACTGCCTTGTGGATCAGACCTTTTGGTCAAAGGCTCGGGGTGTGGCACCCTAAGAAAACCACCTGCTTCGGTTTGGGCACCCGGGCAGTATCACAGCCCACACACATAAATAGTGTGGCACATATGTACCTGGTGCCCTTTTGTACCAATATATATGTGTTTAAATAAATAAGTAAATAAAACTCTCTATGGTCCTTTAGGTTCTGAGTTCCAGTACCCAATCAACCATACCTCTTAATTCATTACAGAACCATATTCTAGATATCAAATTCTTCTCACGATAATTCCCAATCCTTTGCTATTACTTGTATCACTTTGATTTGTGATATGAGAATCCAGGCTGAAGTACATTTGTGCCAGATTACGCTGATCATAACTAACTGACTAAGATTAGTTTAGTGACCTACCAACTACCAATAAGATTGGTGGTAGTGGGTGAACACAAGTTACCTCGCATTAGTCGAAAATGGATTGACCTTACATTTGCACAATTCCACAGGAAATTAGACAGGGATACTAAATAGTGACTAATTACCAGTTATTGCAAAGAATAATAGTTATACATCGAAGACTGGTGACTAATGACGCTTGAGGTTAGCAAGCTGCTTCATTTGCATGGATCTCACTGCATAAATAAGTGGCCAATGTGAGGTACTTTTACACTTATCTACAATGATCTGAGATTTATTGAGACTGATAATTAAAAGTCAAGTCTTGGTCATATTTTGCCTTTTTTCGGTAGACCAATCAATAGTGACGTACTGTTCTGTCGAAGAGAAACCCCAGGGATAATGGACTTTATTTTAATAAAGTACAGCGATAAAGAGCATAGTACTTAAGCCTTTTATTGAGAACAAATAACAACTTTAATGGACTTACCAGCGACAGTCGGGTCACTCTTGATTTTTTTTAGGTCCTGATAATTCTCGGGAAAATTCACGGGACGTTTATTTCCGACAGAGATAACCGATCTAAAGTGTTACAGGCAGACAGAAACCTACTTTTGAAAAGGTTTAGATTCGTCTTTGACAGCGTTTCGACAAGTAGAATGGTTGTTTATCAATTCATCCAGTAGTAAGCTAAAATTATAAGCCGTAGTTAACGAAGACCCGAGAACTTACTCTTTCTCACTAGAAACTACGCGGATAATATTGTTTAATTTAATGATTTCGGATTTCAGAGTCTCATTTATCTTTAGACATGTAAGAAACCCAAATACAAACACACTTACCACGATCTGTTGTTTGCACAAGTTCTTAAGCATTTCATATCTTTCCTCTATTGGGTCTTTATATATATATATAAGCATTTTCATTGATAATACCTTGGGATAATTCGTTCATTTCGAGGTGAACAACGTTTAATCCAAAGTAGCCAATCTATTGGCAAGCTTGTTGAGTCCACACAGGGACTAAAATACATGAAATTGTAAAATGGCGAAGTTTCGTAGCGAATTTCAAAACCGGATGCACGGAATAAGATGGACTTCATCATCAACTGATAGGTGAGGAAGTGAGTGTCGAAGTGTAGGCCAAAAATAATTTTTTATAAATCCTTTTTCGTTATTTGTTGTTAGAAAGTTGTGAACCGTTTATTATAATTTGTTTTAGTTTATTTTAAAGTACGCGCTCTAACCAAGGCGCAAAATTGACTTTGGCGAAAACGTAGTAGGTTCTATGTAAGTACTCGGGAGAGACATAAACAGCTCCATTCTTTCTTATTTCGACTTCCAAAAACTGTGGAAACTTGTATAACACAGGTGTTTCGTTTGTTCTTCGTTTTTTTTACTTGTATGCTATGTCTTCTGAGTTGTCTTAATCTGGTAAGAAGAAAGAGAGTATCTCAATATTCTATACGCCAAAATTAGAGCACCTCCTTATATATGGTAGGACAAAGTTAGTAGTAGCTATTAGTATGTCAAACCCTAGAGTTTCGGAATTGCACGGGTAGCTGCCCTCTGTACTTTTCCAGGATACCCGAGTCACCTCTTAAACAAGAGCACTAGCCCGAAAGCACCTTTCAAGTTTGAATGTCACTAAGGCTTATATTACAATGAAAACAATACTATATAACTTAAATGACCGTCTTAAAGCCCATAGGGCCCTAAACTTCGTAGCTGCGACCTCGCGGCAGTGGGCTGTGGTCTCACTGCCAACATAAAATCAGTACTACGTGCACAGGCTCTCCCCACATGCTGTAACTGTTTACTTTTTTATCCCCAATGTGCATGTAGACACACTTGACTGCGTTGATAAGCTCCAGTCATTGCATAGACCATCTAATCTAATCATCTAATTGTCAGTAGTGCACATGCATCTGCGTTTTGTTACCTTGTATTTGGGTCTAGTTCTTCTTCTAGAAGAGGCTCGTGAACGAAAACTGTCCCGAAATAACCCACCATGGCCTCTGTTTTGTCCTGATCATCTATCATTCAGTTTCAGTTTGGAAAGGACAGGAGGCTTGATGGTCTGTGTTAGTCCTGGCAATGATGGTCTCTCAGCTGATCCAACTTTCTTTAAAAGGAGTCGACGGATGGAGCCTCAACCACGTGCTGAGGTAATGAATTCCACTCGTTGATTATTCGATGGGAAAGTTGGTAGTCAGCTGACAAGTAATTCGTTCTTGGCTTGTGAACTTTTTTGGAGTGTCCTCGTAGATTTTCTGTTTTGTAAGACAAGAAAAATGAGGGCATATCAGGTGCAAATTTGTCATTAAGCAATTTGAAAACTGTAATCAAGTAGCCTCTAATTCTTCTATATGACAGCGGGAATAGGTTTAGCTTAGTCAGTCTAGTACCATACGGGAGCTTCGTTATTCCGGGAATCAGCCTAGTTGCTGTTCTCTGAACCCTTTCCAAGAGTTCACTGTCTTTTTTTAGGCAGGGGCTAGCTGCTTGTATGTAAGTAATGCAGATGTTAGGAAACGGGTACTAGGTAAGGATGGGAAATCGATTGATGAAGTAGTGAAACTTCATCAGTTGAGATGGCTGGGACACGTGTTACGTATGCCCAACCACCGACTGCCTTGACGTGCAATGCTTTATGGTGTAGGAGCAGGTTGGAAGAAAGCTAGGGACGGCCAAACCAAAACATAGCATAAATCCATGAAGTCGCTGACAAGTGGACTGGGCCGTGTTGGTAGGTGTAGACTACCTGGTTGGGATTCGCGAGATTATAGCAACCGATGGTTAGAGACCTTGAATGACATGGCTCAAAATTGTTTGCAATGGCGAAGGTGCATACACTCTTCATGTTCTCCCAAATTCTAATCTTCTGAATTCTTCATGTCCGTATCCTTTTTCTCTTTCCAAATTTATTTCACCGTATTATACTCCTTCAATAACATTTTCAAACCCTTATCTTTCCGATTACTGCTTATACTCTTACTACTTCTACCAATATGGGATTTGAATCGAAAACTGTATCTCTGTGCTAATGTGGTATGGCAACTCGAACTGATGTACGTACGTACGAAGTTCTACGTTGCAACTGACTGACTGAACTGCTTGTATGCAGTACTCAAGTTTAGGGCGTACGAACACTGTATACAAAGTCAGAAACGTTTTAGCGTCGAGATGCTTAAAAGCCCTGCGTATGTAGGACCATAAAGTCCTAAAACCTTTGGCGGCTAACTAACGATGACGCCTAGGTAATTGTGTGCCTGGACAATAGGTAACTCAGTGTTATTCATCGTGTACCCTGGTGGCCAATATGCATCACAATACACTTGGAAATGTTTACCGGCAATTGCCAGGTTTGGGACCATTCAGATAATCTCTCCAGGTCGTTTTGAAATTCTAAGCTATCGCCCTTGCTTTGTATCGCTCTCCATATCTTGACATCGTCAGCATAGAGTAATACCGATGACGATAGTAGACGAAGGAGGTCATTTACGTACAGGAGGAATAACACTGGCCTCAAAACTGTACCCTGGGGGACTCCACCAAGCACAGTTTCCCAGCTAGACAACTTGGAGTTCACCCCTACTCTTTGTTGACGCCCAACTAGGAAGTCTTTTATCCACATCAATAGATTGCCTCCAATCCCGACATTCCTTAGCTTATATAACAGCCGGTTATGCGGAACTTTGTCAAAAGCTTTGCTGAAATCGATGTCAGCTACGTCTATAGGTAACTTTTGGTCCTTAAGAGTGCACCGGCTTTCACGAGCGACTATTAAGTTTGTGAGACAAGAGTAACCTGTTCTAAAACCATGCTGCTTTCCGGAGAGGACCCGGTTTTCATCGAGATACTTTAACAGCTCCTTCCAAATAATCTTTTCTAAGATTTTAACAACCACACTAGTTAGGCTAATTGGTCGGTAATTCTCAGGCTTATGTTTTATACCTGTTTTGAAGACTGGACTTACTATGGCGTTCTTCCAGTCTTTTGGTAGATGACCCTGGGGGACGGATAGATTAAAACATACACTTAAAGGGTTCGCAAGAAAGTTAGCTAATTCCTTTAGTAACCTAGGATGCAGTTCATCGGGTCCAGTGGATTTACCTATGTCAAGCTTAACTAGCAGACCAAGGACATCGAGTTCTTTAATGGTCACGCTGTCCAGTGCTTGTGTGGGGGGATTTTCATGGACTGGTGTGAAGGGTGTTTCTATGGTGTATACATTGCTAAAGTATTTAGAGAATACTCAAGCTTTGCCAAAGTCGTCCTCCACTAGTGATGAGGCAGTGCTGTCTCCCCATAGTGAAGGAACATTTCTTCTTTTTGCCCTTTGGTTTATATACGAATACAAGCGTTTAGGGCATTCTATGGAATCCCTAACGATTTTCTCTTCGTACAGCTTTCTGGCCTTACGGAGGGTCGAGGCACAGGTATTTCGAGCCTTTCGATACTGAGATTTTGCCTCGTCAGTCCCCAGTAACCTAAATCTATCCCACATTTTCCTCCTTTTACGGAGAAGGATGCGAACCTCCCTACTGAACCACGGTGGGGAGTTTCTCGGTCTCTTAGGTGTAGTCCAAGGGATGTGGGGGGCGGTAACTTTTAAGTATAAATTCCGGAATACGTCCCAAGCCGTTTCGATTGATGACTCTGGGTCTATTTTCCAATCTACTGATGATGCTGATTTCATGATGTCTGGCATGTTGGCTTTCCAGACGTTAGGTCTGGATTGAGCTGAGGCGTGCTCGTGATCGACAGTTATATGGAAGTCAAAGGTTAAAACTGCATGATCACTTTTGCCTAGGGGTGGCATGTAATCCAGGTTTGCAACGTCATTCTCATAATGAGTCAATATAAGATCTAGTAGGGATGATGCAGAACTCGGGTCGTACCTAGTTGCTTCCTTCACGTATTGCACTAAGGCACATGTGATTACCGCATCAACTAGTTCCTGTTCGAAGGAATTATCTGGCGATTCAGTCCGCAGGTTTCCCCAGTCCACCATGGGTGCATTAAAGTCCCCTAGGATTAGACATCGATCACTTCGTGATAAAGTGTTGAGACTGCTTAGCAGGACCTCGTTTACCTCACAGCTTTGACTGCGATAGATCAAACTAAGCAGCAACTCTTGTCCCCCTTTTTTTCCCGGGCCCTCTCGCATGCCAAGCGAAAGATCTACTCTCTTTTGTAATTAAGTTGAGAATCTAATGCTGCGTTCTTGTTCTGTAATTTATTTATGAGAACAGTCTCAGGCTGTTTGATTATAGATTGGGCCAACTATTTTTCACACTTTCTCCCGGATTGCAATTATACACTTATTTTGTACTGACCTGTGGCGTTCTGTCGTATTTGCCGTACCAAGGCTGATGGCGACGTTCCGGCATTTCTTACTTATTAGTAAACGTCGAATATTCCGGCCTGTCCAGGGATGGCCCTGCTCCAGGGTATGAATTATTAAGTTACTTGATTGTAAAACTGCCGGAAGTGAGTCTGTTACCAGCTTTTATTTATTTATTTTGCCCACAAATGCCCTGGTACAGCCGATAGTGGGAGGGGCCACCCTCCCTCTTGAAATGCTCTTACATGGCCACGCGTATATAGCCTCTGCCAGGGAAGTCCTACTCACTACCTTCTCACGGCGTTACTGTTGTTTACGAAATTGAGAGGACGAGAATCTAATGTCCGGCGCTTTAACCGGGTTGGTGGACACGGAAAGTTCACCTACGGGAGTTAGAAAACCCTGATTCCAAACCAAAAGTAGTGGCTGGATCGTTAAGGAATTCGACTTTCAACCTATTAGTCACATGTACACGCTGCCCCTAAACTAACTTCTAGTTGGGTAGCCGAGTAATATAACGAGTCCTCAGTACGTATCGCTCAAGGTTGGTTGCATGAACTTATGATTTCCAAATGAACTAAATCATATTACATATACTTTGTTGTCTGATCTAATTGGGAATTTAACGAAGGAGCCATTCGGCTTAGTTTTTTAATATATTTTTTAGTTATTTGTATTTCAAAATAAATGCTTGACCCATGTTTTTTAATCTTTCTAGCTCGATTTGATGACACGTCACTCAAAAAACTGCACAGCTCATACAGTATATACTTATTATGAGCGGAAAAATGATGCACAAAGGTCAGGTTTTGGCACCCAGGAAATCCGTTTAGGAAAAGATTCAGTGAAAGCTCTTGATTGTTGCTCTCTTTGTCTACAACCAGCAAAGGATCCTGTCGTTACAAATGATGGATTCCTCTATGATCGAGCAGTAGTTCTGGAATACATTGTTTCTCAAAAAGCTGAAATTCAACGGAAACTAAAGTTGTATGAAAAACAGAAAGCTCGTTTAGATGCTGAGACAAAAATGATTCTCAAGGCTGAAAAAGAGGAAGAAGCCCGACGATTTCTATCAATGAATACTCTAGATACCCACTCAAAAGCCTCTGCACAAGCTGCTGAAGCAGAAGCTTTGGCCTCATTGTCCAATAAACGCAATGGTTTGAATGAAACAACTTCATGTTTTTGGGCATCTGGTAGCAAAACGAATGAGAAACTGAACAAAGAACTCTTAGATAAGCCTGATACTGTTGTTCGCTGTCCAATGAGTGGCAAACCATTAAGGTATAAAGATTTAGTTGGTGTTAAATTCACTACCTTTGAAGATGACAGTAAGGTCATGGGTTTTAGCCAAGATAAACCAATAGATCGTGAAGTCAAATATTGTTGTGCTGTTTCCAAAGATCCATTAACAAATGCTACAGTTTGTGTTGTTCTTAAAACTTCTGGAGCAGTTGTTACTAAAGAAGTTGTAGATACTGTAATAAAAAAAGAAATGATTGATCCTATTAATGGTAAAAAAATGAAATCATCTGATTTTATTGAACTTCAAAGAGGATCTCTTGGATTTGCTGATGAACGAACATTATTAACTGCTAAACGTGTTAGACCATCAATGCAAACTTGAAATCCTTTTTTTTTCCTACTTTTTATTTATTTTAAATTGTACATAGCAACAAGAATATTTATTTGTACAAAATCAAATCAAATAAATTATTCATTTTTACCTCTTTTTTTAAAATTTCAATTAGGGTTTTTCTTAAAAATCCTATTTCCGTTCTCCATTCATTTTTATTCATAATTCAGTGGTCTATGATATTGCAATTTACTGGCTGTTTGAAGTTACCAATATATCATATTAATTCGGAGCAGATCAAAATTTTGAAGACTCCACAAGATTTCTTTCATAGTTTATTGGTATGTATTTTTATAGCATATTCTGAGGTTGATAAGTCCAATTATTTATGTAGATTAAGATGTATACTTATTCTCCATCTAATTTGTACGTTGTATTTCCTCATTATTTTATAGCAAAATGATAATAATGGTTAACCTAGGGCCCCCAAATGCCCTGGTACGGCCGAGAGTGAGGAGAGTTTGCTCTCCCTCTCGAAATGTTCTCATATGGCCACGCGTATATAGCCTCTGCAACACAAGTCCTACTCACTACTTTCTCGTGGCAGGGGTGTTGTATACGAAATTGAGAGGACGAAAAGCGAATGTCCGATGCTTTAATCTGGTTGGTGGACACGGACGGTCCACCTAGGGGAGTTGGGAAACCCTTTTTCAAAACCAATGGTGCACATGGGCTCCAGTATCCTGACGGAACAAATGGCATATGAACCAATCGTTGGTCACTGGCTACCATGGGACTGCATCTCCTCACGATGCTCCACTGACTTGTAGATCAGACCTTTAGGTCAAAGGCTTCGGGTTTGGCCCTCTAAGAAAACCACCTGTTTCAGTTTGGGCACCTGAACAGTATGATAGCCCTCACACAAATCAAATGAGATTTGTGCGGCACATATGTATCTGGTGCTTCCTTGTACCAATATTTATGTGTTTAAATAAATAAATAAAATAAATCCATCAGCAATAGTAGTATAAGTAATAGGATTGGTAATAGGGAATATAGTTCTAGGAGAAAAGACTAGTTCTCGGAATGCCGACTTTGAAGTAATATTAGAACTCGGAATCTGAGGGTTGACAAAGAGTAAGTTCATCTTCACTATTGTTTGTTTCAGATAACTCAATGTCTCCAAACACTGGTCATGACTACCGTAATGTCCTTAACTAAGTGGTATGCACATATAAACACAGCTCAGACCAAAAATCAATGGCTTCATGGATTGGTTTACGCTTCACGAGTTTTCATTCAATCTACCTCTACTCCAGGCAGAACTACACATCGAGGTATAGAGTGGCTGCGCATCTGTGGTACATGTCCCAACCACCTCAGTTGGTGAAAATATGTAATCAATTTCCCATCTTTACCTAATAACCCAAATTAGCATAACTCATTTGCTTGTCACCACGATATGGCCAGATACTAGGCTTACGAATTTAGTAAGACATTCGATGCTCCTAAATTCATACAATTATAGATTTAGCTTTAAGATACTAATTTCAATAGTTTAGACAGCTATATATTAGTTTGTATTCGGGGTAAGAATGTAATAATAAGTTGGATACACTTTACGTCTTAATTTAGAAATACATTTCATCAGTCGATTATATGAAAACGGAAGTCTTCTAGCAAGATGGAGAACAAATATATTTACGTCACTTCAACCAGAATTCGAATGATGATACTCAAGGTGTTTTTTTGTCCAGTTATTGTTCACAATTATCAAAAGACCTTAAGCAAGAAGTTTGTATTTCTCTCTACAAGTTACCGAAAATTCACTTCATTAATCAGAATATGCAGTTAAATATCCAATGTTATTACAGTAGGTATTCTCATTACCATAGTAATATTAACAAAGTCAAATCAGTGCTGTATAAACTGTTATTACTATTACTAATATGTTAAAAAGAAACAAAGCTTTTTGATGTAACAAACTCATTCATGGTGTAAGTTGATAATAAAACTTCAGAATAGTTATTAATTGAGATGTTAAATGAAAACTTTTTTAGGTTAAAATACACTACTTTAAACTTCATTTCATTACTACCACTATGGGTTTTGAATCGAAAACTGCATCTCTGTACTAATGTGGAATGGCAACTCGAATTGACGTACGTACGTACGAAGTTCTACGTTGTGACTGACTAACTTCAGTGTGTTAGTATCGTTGGTTTACATGTAGTATGTAGCTAGCACTCCATACTTGGTTACTGAATTAAAATTAATATTGAAGTGTTTGTTTATTAGAGACGATGTACATCAATTAAACTATAGGCGTTATTCTTTTTATCCTCCTTTAAACCTTGAGATTAAAATTGCTTCTTAACTTTTTCTTTCCTATACTATATCCTTATATACAACCTTTCTTTATATACTACCACCACTAAATTAATTACTTCTATGAATCCGGTGATCTTGTTGTGCTAACGAGGTATGGCAACTTGGACCGATGCATAAATGTGCCTGGTCCTACGTTGTCGCTGACTGATAGGCGTTATTATTTTAAGTTAATGTAGGAAAAAACATTCCAACCTGAAATGGTTTAGTAGTAAAAGACTACTTTGAACTGCTCGGTTGCAGATTCCAATTCTACTCGTCTCGTTTCATGGCAGCTGGTTAGTATATCACTACTCACACCTAGAGTTTATCTCGAAGCTGAATGCATGAATCTTTCTGTATTTTGTAAGTGAGCTACATTAGTAGAACATCAGCTGACATCTGTTTCTTTACTGGAATTTTCGTACAATGTTAATCTGTTTTGTATTTTTATCAGATCATGGCAACCGGCCAGTCTATAAACAACCTAAAACCCAGTACATCTATGCGACGTTTTGAATTTATATACCACATCATCATAGCAAGATGAAATCACTAAGACAAATCCCAACGTATTAGAAATAGTAATATCAGAGATTAGGCATAAATAACGGGGTTCGAGAAAAAGGAATGAATTCGTTGAATTGAATGTATGAGATGATTTTCAAGCTGAAGATCTAGGCAAAGACATATCCGTCATTCCAAACGATTCTGAGCCATATTACTGAACGTCTCAAACCACTGGTTATGATAATCTCGCCAATCAACTTAGTAGTTTGCACGTATCAGCTGGGCTCAGTCTTGGAGTGCATAACTTCATTGACCGATACCACTTTTTGGTTTCCCTCTCCTACTTTTCTTCCAACCTATCGTTATATCAGCAAATTTCGCGCGTTAATGTAGACAATGGTTTAGGATACTCGACATATGCCCTAACCACATTAGACAATGGTGGTGACTACTTATTACTATTATATTCTAACACAACGTTTAGAGCAATAGGGCACTATAAAATGTTCCATTTGAGACAGGATGATAATATTATGAAGAAATAACATAGGAAAAATCATGCCGTCTTTAAGTTAGGTAAAGTTTGAGATTTATATTTACCAATTACTACAGATAGACCTAAAAAAAAACAAAATTGATTTAGATCAGAAGGGGTTTTGTGGAGAATTTAGTATTTTCATAGTTAAAATCTTGAGTCAATTGAAGCTAGACCACCATGGAAAACCTGGGAACACTGGATGGCCGTTTCGTCCTATTATAGGACTCCTCAGCAGTGCGCATCAACGATCCCGCACTCGCGAGATTTGAACCCAGGATCTACCAGTCTGTTTATTTAATTTAAGAGTTGGGTCCTACCGTTGATATTGAATGCAATAAAAAAAAGCCAGAATAACATGTTTGGCTTTTGTTTCCAGCCATACTGAAATCACTAACGACATGTAAAACTTGACATAATGATCAAAATTCAAGTTTTAAATTGGAATCATTTACAAGGAATATCTTTTGTTCTATGGCCTAAAAACATACCTCTGGACCATAGCATTGCTAACACAATGTTGCCATCGTTTATAAAAAATTCATTTGCAGGCAGCGATAATCGGACATAAAAAGGTTTTCAAACATCCTCAACTTGAATACGTCTGATTTTACAAGTAGTGGACAAGATTAGCTTTACCAATGTGTAGTTTTCATGCATGTTATACTGATAGTAAAATAGTAATTGTAAACACCACTGATGCATATATGTACAATATCAGAAGGATAGATTTTCTTGTTTCGTCTCTGATTTAGTTAATAAGGTAAGATAAATGATCTTTGTTTATATAGGTGATAAAATAGGACCTCTAGATCTGTCCAGTTGTCACTGCTGAACTAGTATGTGAAGATAGAAAAAAGTCGTAATCATATCTAATTAATATAAACAGGTTTCACCTCGTAGAATGAGCACATTAGTTGTAGAAGTCCCCAATGGTTAAGCAATCATTCAGTTAGACATGAAACTGTTCACTAAAATGGCACCACACTTTTTGTTTAAAGTTCAAGTCTTTGATCTGATAATTTTAACCCCCCCCCATCTTGTAAAGTTTTCATTGCTCTTCCCATTCAAATTTATTTTTGGTTTCATTCTCAAGTATACGTATACTTTTCTTATTAATTCTAAATAGGATCATATAGAGAATGCAAATAAACGAATTATTTTATCAACCCTGTACATTGGAACAGGTCCATTAGAAAATGAATTAGTAAGTAATTTTTTAGTAGTAGCACTGTGTACTACCTGTTACATGTATTTGTTTTGATGGTATATGTGTATGAATATACAATAATTGACGCGATTGATCACCGGGTGGTGATCAGTGTCATGCGTGTTAAGTCCTTCTTAGTGCTAATCGAATGCTATCGATGAAGTTGCAATGTGGCCACTAGTCTAGGTGGCTCGACATTGCGTACACTATGTTGAGATATGATGATGGTTGGAGGTGGTCAACAGGAAACCCTGGACACTGGGAACACCGGTTCCCTCAAGTTTACAGGTATACCTTGCTTACGAGTGCCAAGTAGCACGAAACCCGGATCCAGGGTTTCTTGTTGACCACCTCTAACCACCATCTTATCACAACAATTGACAGAACTGCGACTTTGTGACATCTTGACTTGATAATATTTCATTTAAAGGATTCTTTCTAAATGTGGGTTATGAAGAAGTGAAGAGAAAACTAAACGCGAGGCGGGATCGTGGATGCGCAATGCCACTGAGGAGTCCCGAAATAGGACGAAACGGCCGTTCAGTGCTTCCAGGTTTTTCATGGTAGTCTAGCTTCAATTGACTTATGATTACAACTATGAAAATAGCACAAAACATTCTTCATTGTCTCTGCTATCAATGACAATAAACGTGTTTGAGTTTACTCGAATCAATTCTTTGAAATATAACAAACCATGCATCCTACAATCAATTTTATAGTTATAAGAACATTGACTACATCTCTGAATTTTACAGTGATCTTAATCACCGGTATTTTCCGTTCAAAAACGTTGGTCAACACCCCTTTATTTCTCATATCCACTTTATAGATTAGTAAAATATCGTGACCTAATCTTCCTGACACTTTTCACCCTTAACGTAATCTCATTTCAGCTGATGCCGTCTCATTTGTGAATCTCACTTTGTATTACTTGGTAACTGTTATATCTCGAACTTAGATTCTTAGTATGTCGCGTAATACTTGAGCACTCGAATGCTAGAACCCTCCCAAGTAGCGAAATGAGAAGACAGAAGACTAGTAAGTAGGAATGTTATTCTAAACAGTGTCAACTGTAGTACAAAAATCTCACGTATTTATAGTTTTTGACTGGAAGTAAGTCATCATTTCGGACAGCCAATAGGCACATAGGGGGTCCTTCTTATTCACCCAATAGGGAAGCTACATGTCGACACTCTAAAATGTTGCTCTAGCGGTAATTGGATGGAATGTCTTCGGCTCTTTCTGGGCTTCTTGAGTTTGCCAACGAGCTATCCTTAAAGTAACGATATGTGTTAATCTAAATAAAGGTTCATAAAAGTTTATCCAACTATTTTCTATTGTTCGAACTTCTATTTGATTCTATTGATATTATTGGATTAGATCTTATATATCTATTCATCTGTTAGTCAACATAGAGTTGGTCGTAGATATGTGTGTCAGCCTAAGCTGTTGTATTACAGGTCATTGAGAGTTATATTGTAAGTTATTGTAATACTTTACAAACGAGAATATAAACAAAGATAATAATGTGATAAAGTTAGTTAGAAGTAGTCAGTAAATAAGTGCCAGCAGAATGTAGCAGAAATCAAAACAAATCTTAATGAGAATATATATAGTCCGACAGAAGTTTCTGGAATATCAATCGGAGTAATAGCAAAAGATTAGCTGTTCAGAGTCGAGAGGGAATCCTGCTCGACCTATGCTCTGTGCTGGTTGGCACTCATCAAAGTGTACCTACAACCTCGTTGTAACTGTCCCTTCACGTAGAGTTCATAACCGGCTTCCGTTAGCTTTAAATTTGGAGACGTTACTACTAAGCTAATTAAACCGCGGCTAACCTATAGAACTGATGGATATCAGCCAGCAAAAAACCTGTGTCCAGCATTTCCTGTTAACTACTTCCAACTACCAGACCTTAAAGTAAAATTCACGCGTTTCCAAGTTACCTAAACTAGTAGACACGTTGTAACTTGAAAGCAGAGATGGGTGGTGTCTAGCAGTGGAATTCAGGACGCTTATTTCGTGCCATCTGAAACCCATAGTTGACATTTACTCCGGAGCTCGAGCCTAATAGCGTTCTCTTCAAACGCCATCGCGTTATCCTATTAGCTACTGAGTAACTTGATTGATGAAATTCGATCAGCACTTCAAGCACTGGACAAACATGATATTTATCACAATACTTAGTGAGAAATCATTGCAAAACTTTTCATTCTAGCTGAAGCCATCTATATGAAATATGAATTTTCAAACTCTTCGTTTTTTTTTGCATTTTCATTTTATTCCAGGTTACTGCACTAACAAAAGCTGTTCGTGAAAGAAATGTAAAACTTACTATTCTAATGGATGCAACACGTGGTCTACGTCCTTGTCTGACAACTAATTATTATACTACAAATGCAAATAACTTATCATCTACTACAAATCTATTGGAACTTCCATCTTCATATTCTTCATGTCATTTTTTAGCTCCACTAACTACTTTGCCTAATGTATCAATCTTATTGTATAGACGTCCATTTCCATACAAATGGATTCGTTACATGTTACCAAATCGTTGGAATGAAATATTCGGTGTACAACATATTAAAGCGTATATATTTGATGATTCAGTTATTATGAGTGGGTAAGTTTACTTATAATGCTTAAAGTTCTTTGATTACGTATGAATATGGATTAAGCCAGAGAATAACATGTGGGCAGTGACTTTAGTCAGATAAATCATTTACTTACAATAAGTTCTTTATTCACTTTCTATGTAGACGTGGTACATCCTTTCATCTGTCACACCTTCTGTGACATATCAGGCTCACCATGATATCCAAATTATCTGATTACATGTTTATTAAGCATCAATCTAATAGACTGATTAACATCAAAACTAAAACTCCTGTATGAAATTAATTTACCAAATCTGTTCAAGAGTTTCACCTTTTGAGATTATTATACTGTGGTTCAATTTCTAAGGTTATGAAGATTTTCAGCTGATGACAATGATTTTTATGGAGTGTTATCCTCTTAGCTGGGTGATTTAATAGATTGAATTACCAGTTTCATCGTTTGGAATCGTCTCACTAATAATATGATTGAATTCCCCTGATGGATAACATTGAATAACAGTCAGTCTATGTTATGGACTAACTAAAGCTAATGTTTGCGTACAACCACTACCAGGGAAGTTCTACTCACTACCTTCTCGCGGCAAAGGTGTTGTTTACGAAATTGAGAGGACAAAAAGCGAATGTCCGGCGCTTTAACCGGGTTGGTGGATATGGAGGACCCGCCTAAGGGAGTTGGTAAACCCTGATTCCAAACCAATGGTGTACATGGCCTCCAGGATCCTGAAGGAACAAATGGCGCATGAACCAATCTTTGGTCACCTGGTACCATGAGACTGTATCTCTTTACGTTGCTCCACTGCCTTGTGGATCAGACCTTTCGGTCGAAGGCTCCAGGTGTGGCCCCCTAAGAAAACCACCTGTTTCGTTTTGGGCACCTGGGCAGTATCCCAGCTGTCACACAAATCGAATGATTTATGTGTTTTATATAAGTTTGGTGCTTCCTTTTACCAATGCTTATGTGTTTAAATTAATAACTCTGCTTTCAACATGTGAATAATAACTAGAATTTGTCATCAACTCAAATAACCTTATTTAAAGAAACACATACTGTACATAAGATGTATTCATGTGTTTATATGGATGTATGCTTGTTTAATTTCATATTTTTTGATTAGTTTGAAGTCAAAGTTACTCTGTCCCCAGTCAAAATTACATTTAATCTGACACAAATATTCATTATGCCAAGTTGGTATACTGTATTCTCAATTCGTGAAAGCAAAAGATCAATCAATTCTACACCTCTTTGACCATGATTTGGTTATGTACTATCAGTGTACAGACTAAAATCAGGAAGTTTTCACTTTTTTCACATAACTCAATCCAACAGTCAGCAACTTGATATACTGATTCTGTCTTAATTTTGCCCTCCCTTAGCACAACCCTACTAGCAAATGGCTAGGCTATTCAGTGTGTGACTTTAGGCTATTAAATTATAATTATATAGGTTCAGACTTCCAACTTCAATCGATTAATAATAAGTGTACACCAATTACTCATTTTTCGTAACTGATATCAGTCTCACTACCAATCGAATTGTGGATCTGGCAAATCACGATTTCTTACTCATCATCATTAATATTAGTATAGAGGTTTGTATTGATTCTCACTTGAAAAATACCATAGTAAAATGAAACAATTATTTATTATATAGTTGAAATCATGAGTCAATTGAAGCTAGACCACCATGGAAAACGTGGAAGCACTGGACGACCGTTTCGTTCTATTATGGGACTCCTCAGCACTGCGCATCCTAGATCCTTCCTCGCAAGATTCGAACCCATGACCTGTCAGTCTCGCGGGCGAGCGATTATCCACTAGTCCACTGAGCCGGTATCCAACGATGTTAATGTCTAACTTCAACCAATCCACAAAATTGAGCAACCATTCACCAATTGTCTTCAGTGAGTTGATATCTTCCAACAGAGCTGTTTAAACTCCACTTGTTACTGCTTCTCATTAGAACTCCAGGAAATACCTCATGAAGGCAGTCACTAGTGAGCATATGATCATTATCAAAAGGGGGTTTTGTGAAGATTTTTTATAGTTGAGATCATGAATCAATCTATTTATTGATTACTCTATTTTTTGTTTTGTTTTAATTTTTTTTAGAGCAAATTTAAGTCATGAATATTTTACAAATCGACAAGATCGTATATGGATATTTAAAAATTTTCCAAATTTAGCAAATTTTTATTCTGATTTAATTCATAATGTGATTAGTAAATTTTGTTATTCACTACGTTCAAATGGTAGTTTAGTAGCTAATCGAAAGGATATACTTTCAGGTAAATAGTTGACTTGATTTATTGATTATTAATATCATTCATTGATTTTCATGTTGATTGAATGCCGACTCAACAGTTCTAGAGGTTAAGCGCTCATACACGAGACTGATAAGTCCTGGGTTCGAATCTCGTGAAGTGGGACCGTGGGTGAGCACTGCCACTGAAGATGACGAAACGGCCGTCCGATGCTTCCAGGATTTTCATGGTGGGCAGCCGTTTCTTCCTATTATGGGACTCCTCAGTGGCAGTGCGCATCCACGATCCCGCCTCACGAGATTCGAACCCAAGACCTATCAGTCTGGTACGTGAGCGCTTAATCTATAGACCATCGAGCTGGCCGGCATCCAACGGTGTTAATGTCTAAGTTTAACCAATCCACGAAATTGAGTGACACATCCACTATTGTCTTCAGTGAGTTACTCATGATCTCAACTATTGAAATTACTATAACATCCACAAAAAACCCCTTCTGATATTAATACTTAATAGATTGAACTATAGAACTTAGTTACTAATCATAACTACATATCAATTCGTCGTATGCTCACTAGTGACTGGCTTCAAGAGATATTTCCTGGAGTTCTAGTGAGAAGCAGAGACCTGTGGAGTTGTGAGATATCAACTCACTGAAGACCATTGGTGAACGGTTACTCAATTTCGTGGATTGGTTGAAGTTAGACATTAACACCGTTGGATGCTAGCCAGCTCAATGGTCTAGAGGTTAAATGCTCGCGCACGAGATTTATAGGTCTTGGGTTCGATTCTCGCTAGGTGGGATCGTGGATGCGCACTGCCACTAAGGAATTCCATAATAGGACGAAACAGCCGTCTAGTGTTTTCAGGTTTTCCATGGTGGTCTAGCTTCAATTGACTCATGATTCCAACTATAAAATTTGTAATAGCCTTTAACGCGTTTGTTTTACGGTGGCGCTACTTTAAAATACCGATATATCTAGTCCGTGTGACCTGTGATTAGTAAACAAATAAAGATCGATATGTTTAGCTGTTTATGATGAAATTCATTCCACTTACTTATTGATTTGTAATTTTATCTATGAACTCTTGTTCTAGTTTATATCTGGTTCTTTATCGATCGACCGGACCATGTTACTGAGTGACTGTTATGTCACGTGATTTAGTGTTCAAGCTAATAACGTGCATAATGCCAATTCTTTTTACACTGTAATAAATCTATGCGTAAATGGTGTGTTTTACCAGTACTCTTTTAAATACGATTTATTCTCATGAACTAAATTAAATCGTTCATATTCTCATCTTTAGTTTCTATTCGGATTATTCAAGTGTTATGGTTAAGAGCTAGTGTATACAGACCATCCCCCTGTTACATTGAATACAATCTTATTCCAAATATATACTAAATAATTTGGGGTAAATTTTGTTACATACATCTTTGCAGGAATTCAGAACGCTCGTTTGACTTTTGCCAACTTATATCACCTATGGTGAAGGCGAGAAATCCATCTATCTATTAAGGGACGAGTATACTGCTCAGTAGTTTGTTCTATTTCAATTGACGGCTGCGAAACGTGGCCATTAAAGATAGAAGATACTTGTAAGTTACTAGTATTTGACGACAGATGCCCTAGAAATATTGCTCTCATCTGCTGGGATCACCAGGTAGGCAATATTGAGGTTAAACACAGGGTATTAGAGAATGATGATGGTAAATCAGTTGATGATAAGATTGTAAATCTTTATCGATTAAGACTGTGCCTAGACCTACGTTGCAACTGACTGATTATTACATTCATGTTGTCATTGTCTTTTTGTTTGCCTTTCTTCTTTATCGCTTACCCTTTCAACACTTTTTTTTATCTCTTCTAGCTAGTTCATCTTCATTTCAACAACAATTTCATGATACTTTATCCAATTTTCTAATCAAGAAATATCAAGAGAGTATGAATGTTTATAAATGTAATCAAATGAATAAGCCATTTGATACTTATATTATTCCATTAATACAATATGGTTATTGTAATATTGAATATGAGAAAGAATTTATGCAAAATTTATTTCAATATGTAACATCAGTATCATCGTCGTCACCGTCGACGTCGTCGTCGTCGATATCTGGTCTAATTCCTAATGAATCTTTTAAGTTATTTTTAGCATCAGGTTATTTTAATTTAACAAAATTATATGAAAATTTATTTTTGAATATGTTAAATTCAACAAGAAATATAAATGTGAATTTATTATGTGCTTCACCAATGGTAAATGATAACCACCTTTTTGTGTATGTGTGTGTATATATATTTCAATGATCCTATTTAGTTTATCAGTTATGTTAATATGAAACACATTTTTATTCAATGAATCTTTATTGCCGTATATATATATATATATAGAAGTTATCTTATCACAATTGATTGATCACTGGGTGGTAATCAATCTCATGCGTGTCAAGTCCTTGGTGCTGATCGAATGCTGTCGATCCAGGGTTCAGGGTTTCGTGTTGACCACCATGTTACCTTAATATATATAGTGCACACAGTGTCGAGCCACCTAGACTGGTGGTCACATTGCAACTTGATCAATAGCATTCGATCAGCACTAAGGACTTGACACGCATGAGATTGATCACCGCCCAGTGATTGACTCATTATAGGAAGAAAATATATTTTTCTTATGCACTCATCTTAGAGTTTTTATCTTCCAAATATTTCCGTATACGATCATAGATTTTGTATAATAAGGGCTGTTCAATACAAAGGAGATTCAAGTATGAATATTTAGTAGATTTTAAGTTTGTAAATAAGTGACAACGCAATTACGTACTCCTGGATTGGTGGTTCTATACTTAAATGTTTATCTTTACCAAGTCTCGTATTGTACCATGTTGTAGGTAATCAGATGTATGACTTTAAATAATGTGAAAATGTATGGATGTAAATAATTAATCAACCGATGTAGCGCTATATTTTGTAATATTGAATATGCTTCATTACTCTGTTTCCAAATATATGACTGAGTTTTTCGAATCAATACACCAAGTTTATCGTTTTACAAACACAATCATCTGTTTTCATTCGTGTGATGAGAACTTAATAGTTAATTGGAAATATACAGCATGTAAAAATCTCCTGTTGTTTATGTCGTGTTAACTATTGAACGGCTTCTAATTGTATTTAAAATCCAGATACTAGTTTTAGTTTAGTTTATGTAACTAGGTGAGCAAGTAGTACTTCACTCACTGTATGACACGCAATGTATACAAGTTTATGGTAGTACCCAACTGCTCAAACCGAAATTGATAAAGTCGATTGCAAAGCTGCAACCCGGTGTTTAAAAGCTTTAACTAATGAATTACTGATCACCCGTCAGTCTGTTCATATTCGAGATATTTTAGTTTATTATTTTCTTCTAAAGATGGTGAATAACTGTTGGGGATGTCAAATCCCCAGAACTTACTTGGTAAATGGCTTAATCTTGTAATTTTATTTTGAAAATTTGAATTCAGCTGTTTTCGCGCCAAAAGCGCTCTTTTTACCTTCACGTCATTTTCCCACTTGTAAACTATCTTAAACGCTATTGGTCCGTTGTTTCTTTGTGTGTGCTATTTACTAATAATGCTCAAGGACGATTTGTTGCTGTATAAATGCGCTTGACTTATTTGATTGCTTGTACTCGGCTGCTTACGGAATGCATACATATTCCCCTACTTGCCTTGAACTTCTTCATCTAGTTAGCGGGGCCTGGGACAATCGATTAGAATAGCTTATCGTGTCATTGTGTCATTGGGTTACGTTCGTTACCGCGGAATCGATTTAGTTCAAGCATAACGATAACTTTCCAAAATGCATCATAATGTAATGTAATGTAAGCCCACACTGACCTTCCAATCGATGTCACTCCACCAACGATCGAAGAAGTCAAGATGGCCATCAGACAAATCAAAAGTGGGAAGGCGGCAGGACCTGACAATATACCAGCTGAAGCACTGAAGTCAGACATTGAAATAACTGCAAACATGCTTCACCTTCTATTCAAGAAGATTTGGGAAGAGGAACAAGTGCCAATGGACTGGAAGGAAGGATATCTCATCAAGATAGCAAGGAAAGGAGATCTGAGCCAATGTGAAAACTACAGAGGCATCAGTTTGTTATCAGTACCAGGAAACGTTTTCTACAGAGTGCTGCTGAATCGGATGAAAGACGCAGTGGACGCCGAACTTGGGGATCATCAGGCTGGATTCCGTAAGGATCTGTCGTGCACAGACCAGATTGCGACACTACGGATCATCGTGGAACAATCAGTTGAGTGGAACTCATCACTATACGTCAACTTCATCGACTATGAGAAGGCGTTTGACAGTGTGGACAGGAGAACATTATGGAAACTTCTTCGACACTATGGAGTTCCCGAAAAGATTGTCAACATTATCCAAAACTCATACGATGGACTACAGTGCAAAGTGGTGCATGGAGGACAGCTGACAGATACATTTCCAGTAAGGACCGGAGTCAGACAAGGCTGTCTACTCTCCCCATTCCTCTTCCTTCTAGTGATTGACTGGATTATAAAGAATTCGACATCTGAACGGAAATACGGAATACAATGGACAGCTCAGAATCAATTAGATGATTTGGACTTCGCAGATGACCTAGCCCTCCTCTCTCATACACACGACCAAATGCAGATGAAGACAGCAAATGTAGCAGCAGCCTCCGCATCGATAGGCCTCCACATTCACAAAGGAAAAAGCAAGATTCTCAAATACAACACTCAGAACACCAACCCAATCACACTTGACGGCGAAACTCTGGAAGAGGTGGAAACATTCAAGTACCTGGGGAGCATCGTTGATAAACAAGGAGGATCGGATGCAGATGTAAAGGCGAGGATTGGCAAAGCAAGGGCAGCATTTCTACAATTGAAGAACATATGGAACTCAAAACAACTCTCAGCCAATTTCAAGGTCAGAATCTTCAATACGAACATCAAGACAGTCCTACTGTATGGAGCTGAAACGTGGAGAACTACTACGGCCATCATCAGGAAGGTACAAGTATTTATAAACAGTTGTCTACGCAAAATACTCAACATCCACTGGCCGGATACTATCAGCAACAGCGTTTTATGGGAGAGGACAAACCAGCTTCCAGCTGAAGAGGAAATAAGGAAAAGACGTTGGAAGTGGATTGGACATACATTAAGGAAATCACCAATGTGCATCACGACTCAATCCCTAACTTGGAATTCGGAAGGGAAGCGGAAAAGAGGAAGGCCGAAGAACACATTACGCCGATAAATAGTAGCAGATATGAAAAGGTTGAATAGCAACTGGAAAGGAAGGCTCAGGACAGAGTTGGATGGAGAATGCTGGTGAGCGGCCTATGCTCCTCGACGAGGGGTAACAGGCGTAAGTAAGTAAGCTTGTGTCATTTATGGCGTAGGCGAGATGTCCGTCTGGCAACTAAAGGACGGGTTTACTGTGCAGCAGTTCGTTCCGTCCTACTTTATGGCAGTGAAACATGGCTGATAAGAGTAGAGGATATTCGTAGGCTACTAGTATTCGACCACAGATGTCTTCGAAGCATTGCTCGTATATCCTGAGACCACCAGGTAAGTAATGCAGTTGTTAGGAAACGGGTACTAGTTAAGGATGGCAAATCGATTGATGAAGTAGTGAAACTTCATCAGTTGAGATGGTTGGGACACGTGTTACGTCTGCCCAACCACTGAAGTGCAATGTTTTATAGTGTAGGAGTAGGTTGGAAGAAAGCTAGGGGCGGCCAGACCAAAACATGGCACAAATCCATAAAGTCACTGACAAGCGGACTGAGTCATGTTGGTAGGTGTAGACTACCTGGTTGGGATCCGCGAGATGATAGCGATCGATGGTAAGAGACCTTAAATGACATGGCTGAAAATCGTTTTCAATGGGGAAGGTGCATCCACTCTTTGTGTTCTCCCAAATTCTAATCTTCTGAATTCTTCATGTCCGTATCCTTTTTCTCTTTCCAAATTTATTTCACCGTATTATACTCCTTCAATAACATTTTCAAACCCTTATCTTTCAGATTACTGCTTATACTCTTACTACTTCTACCACTATGGGATTTGAATTGACAGCTGTATCTCTGTACCACAACCAGAGATCGAACCCAGAACTTCCAGGTATTATGGCAAAGCCTTGACCATTAGAATCACTAGATTGGCATTCTATGGTATAATTTCAACTCCAATCGATTTAAAACATAGAGCGACAACCATACAATGCCATATTAGGAAAAAACGGTTGTTCAGTGCTCCTTGTTTTCTAATGTCACCGCACCAGATATTAATCTGTGACAAACACAGCCAATAAATGAGACCAATCTCCACAAAACCCCTTCAGTTAACTTTGGAAATTGTTAAACCCAATAGTTTGGATCTGTATCTTTCAATGAATAATTAACTAGTTTGTTATAGTGGCTGGTAGTCAAGTCCTAAATGCATATCCATCTGAAATTGTGTCAGCAATTTTGATCGAAACTTGTATTCATCAATTATCACTTCAGTCTGGAAATTCTTATCACCTAACACAACCTACATACAAACTGATGATCACTAAAAATACATAACAACATCCCGAAAATCACGGTGTAAGATATATATATATATAGTAATGGCCCGCTCATCTGACTCTCATTTGGATAAACGTATGAATATGCTATGAACATAAATCTTCCATTTAACTCCGTATATTACCTAGGTTAACACCGTTTGTGCGACGGCGGTGATGAGATGTCAAATACGGATTTCGTTAGATGAACTTATTTAATACACTCACTCATCCAAACAGGCATTCAGAATGAAAGGGGGAGAGCGAAGCCGAGATGAAAAGTGTGCCAACTCGTTTTGATAACGCGTGACTCAATTTTTATAGCCAAATAAAAATGAGTTGAAGACGTGATGAATAGAGTAAGCGGTACTTACACATACCCTCATACAAAAGTAGTCAAGGTTGTCAGCAAATAATTGACCGAGTCAAAATGTAGCTTGAAAAGAAGACATAAATTAATCCAAGCTCTTGCACAATAAAAAAATTCTGATTGTCATTCAGTCAGTGCATTAGAAGAGCGATGTGATTTGTGGCTGTTTTATTTTAAACAAGAGAGGAAGGAAATGGGTTGTTATTGACATATGAGGTTCGAATGAGATCTTCAGTAGGAGTAAGCGTCCCATGTATTTGGTCGTTTCGTCCTATTGTGAGACTTCTCAGTGGTCTAGTGGTTGAGCGCTTGCGCGTGCCAGGCTGATAGGTCCTGGTTTCGAATCTCACGAGGCGAGATCGTGGATGCGCACTGCCACTGAAGAGTCCCATAATAGGACGAAATGGCCTTAAAGCAGTGCTTCCAGGTTTTCCATGGTAATCTAGCTTCAATTGATTCATGATCTCAACTATTGAAATCTTTTCATTTAAAAGCTGTTTTTTACTCAATATGTGTTCGAAATTATATATTTGTTTGATCAATATCATCATTACACATATTTTAGGCGAATGGATTTCTAAAATCAAAAGGTGCTTCCAGTTATATACCATTAGCATATAGAGAAGCTCTTATACAATTACTTCAATTATTTTATACTACTAAATTAAATCATAGTAATATCAATATATATGAATATATCAGACCAGATTGGACATTTCATGCTAAAGGTTTATGGATTGAAAGTGTCGCTGATGATAGTAAAAACGGAGAGAAGACTGCTGATCATCATCATCCTTCATATAGTTTATCTTTAGTTGGTTCATCAAATTTCAGTTATCGTTCTTTGAATCGTGACTTGGAAAGTCAACTGTGTATTATTACAATGAATAAACGATTACGTCATTGTCTTTATAATGAACGATGTCATCTTTTCTCTTCTACTTATTGTTATCCTATAACTTTAAATCAATTAATTTATCAAACTGAATATCGTTTACCTGTATATATAAGATTTATGCTACCAATATTTCGTTGGTATATGTAAATAGTTGCCTTATCGAGTTTTCATATTATCTTTCTTTTTTAAAAAAAAGTTTAATCATTAACAGATCAAAAACATCATTTTATCAGTTAAAACTAAGTGGCGGGGGTGTTGTTTACGAAAATGAGAGGACAAAAAGCAAATGTCCTTCGCATTAACCGGGTTCGTAAACATGGAAAGTCTACTTAGGAGAGTTAGAAAAACCTCCAGTATCCTGAGGGAACAAATGGTGTATGAACCAATTGTTGGTCACCGACTACCATGTGACTGCATCTCCTCACGATGCTCTACTACCTTGTAGATCAGATCTTTAGGTCAAAGGCTCCAGGTGTGTCCCCCTAAGAAAATCACCTGCTTCAGTTTGGACACCTGAGTAGTATCACAGCCCTCACACAAATCAAATGAGATTTGTGCGGCGCAAATGTATCTGGTGCCCATTTGTACCAATATTTATGTGTTCAAATAATAAAAATAAAAGTGAAATTACCACCATTTTAGATCAAATACTATAGTTAGCAAAGAAAGTTTACTTCAGATGATCATATTTGTGTACCATGAACGACTGTGGTCCTCTCACACATAACTAAGGTTGTAATGGTTGTGTGTCAAAATCTATCGAACGTTTTTAATATAGTAGATGATAGTATGAAATTATCTTTCTTTGTTTCCCGCGGTTGATTTGCATGATGAATAATCGGTAGTAGTTGATTCATATTTATCACTGTATCTCTAATGTATTTAAGCTTTTCATAAAGACAATCATCACCCCCTCTCCAGTGCCCTGGTACAACTGTGAGTGGGGAGAGTCAGCCCTCCCCCTCCAAATGCTCTCGCGTGACCACGCATATACAGTCACTGTCAGAGAAGTCCTAGTCACTGCCTTCTCGCGGCAGGGGTGTTGTTTAGGAAATTGAGAGGATGAAAAGCGAATGTTCGGCGGTTTAACCGGGTTGGTGGACACGGAAAGTTCAACTAGTGGAGTGGGGAAATCCTAATTCCAAACCAACGGTGCACACGGGCTCCAGTATCCTGAGGGAACAAATGGCGTATGAATCAATCGTTTGTCACCTGCTACCATGGGACTTCATCTCCTTACGATGTCTAACTACCTTGTGGACCAGACCCTTCGGTTGAAGGCTCCATGTATGGCCCCCTTAGGAAATCACCTGTTTCTGTTTAGGCAGTCAGGCAGTATCACAAGCCACACACAAATTAAGCAACTTGTGTGGCGCGTATGTATTTGTCTTATCAAATATATTTTCAAAAAATCTTTGGAAGAATGTAAAATGAAACATATCTGATTTTTAACAATTTCTGTTAAACATCGTTTTACTGAGTTGCACTGTGTATAATAAGCATAGTCCCATTGGGCCACAACACAAAATATAGTATTTGTGAAACCGTTGAGCAAAAATAGAAGAATGTTTACGATGAGCTTTGTATTTATCAAATATAAGATAGTGCGTCATGATCTGTCTGTATCAACGCTTAGTTCAGGGCTACTATAGTGTATATAGTATATAAAAAGTTTTACATATCTAGGAAGATTTGGTGTCATTTAATAATCCATTTAGTCATAATCAACGTAAAACCGGATTGATGTATTTCGGTCTAGGTTGCAAATTTTCAGTCCCAGTGAGGTGTACAGATTTTCATCAAAGATCTAATCAATGAGAGTAGAAGATATGGATAGATTACAAATATACCAGATGTTTTTTTGAAGTTGGGTAAATGTGATGGAACCATCTAGTGAGAAACGTTGAATTGCAGTGGAAAGTACTGAGTGTTATGTCTTGATCCAAGTTGTTGCTTGCTCAAGGTCGTCGCTAATTTGTTATGGCCTTACGAGTTAACCAAGGACGTAACTCACGTGAATTATCCACCAATAGAAATACGACCCCTCCGACCTTAACACAGTGACAATCAAGGACGTCCAATCAGTATGAGTAATCTGGCGTCCTTATTGGTCCTTAATACGCCTAGCCCGTCCACTTGAGTCCAGAACACCAATAGCAGCTACTGATATGCGAATCTATGCAAATCGTTTATTTCAAGTATACTCGGTTTATATACCAGACATACAGACCACATCACACCATAAAATAGAAAATGATATTTGTACAAAAACAAGCCAAATGTGGCTGTGAGCGTGGAAGACAGTATTCAATAAATCGAGTGTAATTTAGGAACAGTAAATCGTATAATGGGTAATCTAGTCACTGAATAGTTATACAATAAGAGTATATATGGAATAATCGTCCATTAATAGGTCCTGGGAGTTACCCGTGCTTATGTCTTCGCTACGATATAACACTGAGGGTTAATTGTACCTTAAACAACTATTCTTGAATTCTAACGAAGTCTTGATACATATTCAGAAAGCCCGGTTGGAGTTACCCAGCTTATGGCGTACGCGAGATATCCGTCTCCTAACCAGAAAGTTTATGTACCCAGAAGTCTACACTGTTCAACTTTAGGGTTGTGAAACACGGTCAATGAAAGTAGATATGTGTAGGTTCTTGAGCATAGATGTCTTCGAAGAGTCACTCGAGTTTCGTGGAATGACTGAATGAGAAATACTGAGGTTAGGCATAAGGTAGTTGGAAAATCGGTAAATGAAGTAGTAAATCTTTATCGACTGAAATTGTTAAGAAATGTATTACGCATATCCATCTACCGACTACCTCAGTGCTCAACGATGGCTAGTGTAGTAGATCGGAAAGCTAGAAGACACCAAACCAAAACGTGATGTCAGTCCATGAAGTTATTGGCTGAAGGTATGAGTAGGTAAGTGCATGGCATTTGATTGAAGTCCGCATGATAACCACGGTCTGTAGCCGTTGACACCACCGAGGATCATTCACAGATCAATCCATTCTTTATCTTCCTGTTGAATCCCGGTATTACTTCATACATACTTTTTGACTGTCCTTTCAAACTATCTTCCCAAGATTTAGTTTTTTATCATGGCTACCATGTCGTTCCGATTTCTTTATTTTCATCTCATCGTGCTAATCAGGTATGGCAACTTTGGTTAACGCACATCTGTGTCATTCTCTATGTTGATGTCTATCTTAAACACTCATCAATTTGATTCAGTCTGATCTTGGTGTGACCTGCATTTAGTCAACTGCGAACCAATGAAAATTGTATTCTTATAAATATGATTATTGCGCAACTCATGTGTCCAATTCTCGTTTTTGACTAACTAAACTCACTTTATATATTTATACTGATTGATGCTTCATAAGTAGATGAAGTGTTAAATGTCATATTTTACTTGTATTGTGGTGTGTGCCACTTATTTCAACAGACATAAGTAGGATATAACACTAATCGGAAGTAAAAGACCTGACTGCAGAAGTCTTTGAAGGTCGACTTGAAGAGAACAGGAACGGAATTGAAAAGCAATAGTGAACCGGAAGAATCATACAGAATGTGGAAGACAAATGATGGAAATTTGCAAATGAAGTTTTTATGTATGGTTCTCATATTTTACCAAAATACTCTGTAATTTTGTATTACAATAATAAATTGGTCGTCCGCGCCTGTATTCCCGTTCACAACAGTTTTGGCTAGTTGTCACCCCTAGACCCTGACACGACAGACTGGAGTACGAGTTTGAAAAGGATATCTGTAAGCAAAACAAAGTGATTAATTACCTTATACGTCCTAAGCAGTGGGGATTGGATAGCCAATTAGTTTGTGAATTTAAGTGACGGGTAATGTGTTACAAATTTTACATTACTTCCTTCCTATATCCTATAGTGACCAAATAAGATAGGAAGAACCTTAATATGAATTGATCAAAACATGAAACCAGTTTATGGAACAACTTCTTTATTTGGTTTAAGCTGAAGTCATCATGGTATTGAATGCCATTAGTTTAAAAGTAACCGAAATGGGTAAATAAACGATGATAATAATGTAAATGCATCCACCTTTTTATCTGCTACTCAAATTCTTTTCGTTTGTTTTAATATACTACTGTTCTTATCGATTATTTTCTAACCGAATGACTTTATTTGTGGTAACGAAATACCTCCCGACCGTTGCTGCTACCTTGTCGTGGTGGTCTGGCTTGCATATCGTGATGAATCAATCGAGCTATGCTGGCTGAAACAATCGTTTCTCAAGGTCCTACCATGCCAGACAGGTTGATTGAAGAGCGGTAAGACTAAAAGCAGCAAACCCAAGGTCCGAAGGCGAAGTCATACTGCTGACTGTACAGAGGTGTGACAGCAGTAAGGTGTTTCCTTCAGACAATCAGCATAATAGTGATGTTATCTTCGCACAAGAAATTGTGGGGTAAGAAAAGGTCGGCCCTAAAAATGCACACCTCGCCTTATCCCACGGATATCCGTCTCCGGCGGTAAGGTCTCAACAAGTACGGAGCTAACACAAAAACTGCCCATAAAAAGGTCGCGTACGACCGACCTCAAGTAGTTGTCCCTTGGGCACTGCGGTCACGCTCTCAGGTCATTAAGACCACTTCGAATCCAATTTCCTGTTCGGGTACCTCTAGAAGGACCCTTTTACGGTGTGGCCAACCGGGAAGTGATAACTGCCCCCATAACTCTAACAGCACTCAAGACCACTGGAACTGACTGAACGAAATACCTTTCGATTATCAAAGTTTAAAAGAATGAACAATACAATTCATAAGGAATACACAATTTAATCAAATCACATTTATATCAATTAATTAGTTATGTTTTCAATTAGAAAACTATTTGCCATTAAATAATTTTGGTTTATTCATTAACATTAACTGATTATAATTAATCAAGTCAATCATTACATACAAGATTATATGATCATAAATGACCATTACATTCCAATTTAGAAGACATCCATGCTTCAATTTCTTCAATAGTTCTTGGAACATCTGTTAATAATTCATGACCAGTTTCAGTGACAATAATGTTGTCTTCAATTCTTACCTATAAACAATTGAAATTAAAAGATGATAGAAGAGTCTTGAATAAAAATTAAGCAACTTC